GTTACATGGCTTCGGTATTGAAATAAAATCTAATTAATTTTTTTGTGTGAAATTCTACATCGTTTTTCCTGTATGTATTTTCTAATCATACGGTCCGTCTCCCTTCTCACAATCCTTTTTGCAGGAGATGTTCACACCAGAATGCAGGTTTAAGGAGTCCGTTTTTGAAAACTATTATGTGATCTACTCGTCCACTGTGTACCGGCAGCAGGAGTCTGGCCGAGCCTGGTTCCTTGGTCTCACAAAGGAGGGACAAGTCATGAAGGGCAATCGGGTCAAGAAGACAAAGCCCTCATCACATTTTGTGCCCAGGCCTATTGAAGGTATAAAACCATGTTTTGAAAACTAAATTTGAAACAACAAAACTTGTTTTTAGAGTATAAATAGTGAGTGAGTGAAAGGACYGTGGAAAATGTGTGGGAAATGTCTGGATATCTTTCTGCCCCATTAAACTGATTTTTTTGCCCTGCCAATAATTTTAATAATGATATATTACCAATAATCCTTTATAACTAAACATTACAAGCAAATTATTCTCTAAAATGTCAGGGTTCATTAGATTACTCAATGGGAGCAGGTGGTACAGATAACGAAGATGAACAAGAAAGAGATTTTTAAAAATGAAAAAAAGACAAGCAATACTTTTATTTTCCAATGACTGAGTCTAACTCCAGAGTTAATTAATATTATAATTAAAGAACCAGAAGTGAATATATTGCATAAACTAATACATAAAGACCATTGGGCAAGAATGTTTACAAGTCAAGTCCCAAGAATATCTTTCTCACTTGTATAACTGAGAGGAAAGCTGACAATGTTTTTAATCACATTTTTAATAACTGTTTAACTTAGAGTACTAATTTAAAGCTTAACAATGCTTACATTTTTATACTAATTTGAAATTTATCTTGGATTTTGCATTCACAACTTTTATTTGTTAGGCCTAGACAAACATGTTAAAGTTTCATTTTTTCAGCATTTGCTGTGGTTACATAATTAAAAGAGCAGTTCAGAGGCTCCAAGCTGCTCCAGACAGCTGCCTGTGTTTTTGTTTTATATTTGATAAAATGACAATAAATCTGACTCTGTTTCTGTAAGAGGATCAGTCTTATCTTGAAAACTTGTCAAGCGATGTGATAAAAAAGTGCTACCCTCATTCCCCCGTCCCAGCCTGGTGTGATTGTCCCAGCCTCCTCCCTGACCTTGTCTTTGTATTTACACCCATCTCTTCAATCTGCTCTTCGGTGTCTCCTCTCTGACCGACTCCTATCTTTGTCCTTTTCTCCCCTTCCCTTTGTTTGTATCACTACCGCAGTTTGTATGTACAGGGAGCCATCCCTGCATGAGATAGAGGACAAGCACCGCTCCAGGAAGAGCTCAGGGACTCCCACCATGAATGGAGGCAAAGCTGTCAATCAGGACTCCACATAGCACCAGGGAGGGGGGCTTCCAGTGGGAGGTGGGAGGTGGCCTCATCCTGACTCAGGGGAAGGGGCCAAAAAAGGAAAACTTAACACCCTCCTTCAAAACTCCAAAACCATCAACACCTTCTTAAACACGAGAAGGCGTGACGACAAGGAGGAGCTATCACTGTACAACCAGGACAACAAAAAACTGAACTCTTGCTTGTGAAAACATTTTAGATGAATTAAGAAGAAACCTGAACATATATATATAT